CTGGTTCTTTCCTGTAGATGAGGAGTTAATTCATTGGTGGTTAGTTCACTGTGAACTTAATAGTTGTATAGCTATATTATTAGCTATATTCATGTATCGTTCAGTGGGGGTTTGCTGTTTTTAAGTTATCTTGTTCATAGAGAATGTACATAGAGAATGAACATATAGAATGGCTATAGCCTAACACATGGGTGACTTGGTTTTATGGCATTAAAATGTTATTTTCTTTGAGCCATGGGAAATAGTAGGGAGTTTCACTCTTTTTGTATCTGTTCTCATGGATAGCTTCCTTTTTAAAGGTTTGTAATTGAGTTTTAATTTTTTCATATTAGTTTGTTATAAATATTTAAGATACTAATAAAATAAAATTTAAATATTACATCTTTCTGTAACAGATTTTGAAGTTCAAAATCTTCCCTATATAGAAGGGCTTTTTACAATTGAATGTATTTTTATTGATAAAGACTTATAAGGGGCGACAGAAGAATTCAGCTTTTAAAGACTACTTTTTTTAAAAAAGGTATCAGCCAACAAGGGCGAAATTGGTGATGCCACTCCATTTAATGATGCTGTTAATGTGCAGAAGATTTCTAATCTATTATCTGATTATGGCTACCATCTTAGAGGAAATGAGGTATGTTTGCTCTTACATTAGTAGCTCTGTTTCTGTATGTATGTAGTTTCAATTTTAAAAAAGTCAATTCTCATTTTGAAATATGCATGCTTTAAATATGTGCACAAATCATATATGTACGGCTTGGTGAATTTATTTCACACAAAGTGAACACACCTGTGTGACTGGCACCCAGATCTCAAAAATTACCAGAACACTTTTGGGCCTAGATGCCCCCTCATGTCTCCTTCCATTTATTACTCCCACCCCAACACCAAGGTAAACAGTCTCTTGATTTTATATTCTGTCTGCTTTGTTTTCATACAAATGAAATAACATAATCTACGCATGTATATTTAATACTTTTAAGTCTGTACTTTAAAATCTGTTTCAGGTCCTGTACAATGGGTTCACTGGTCGAAAAATCACATCACAGATTTTTATTGGTCCCACATATTATCAGCGTTTGAAGCATATGGTGGATGATAAGATTCATTCTCGTGCCAGGGGACCTATTCAGATCCTTAATAGACAGCCCATGGAGGGTAGATCTCGGTAAGAGAGCTGCATCACCATCATTGTTATTATTAATTAGCCTTTTTAAGTGAAAAATGTTAAACATGTACAAAAATAGAGATAATGGTATAATGAAAGCCCCCGGGCCTGTCCCTCCCCATCAGTAATTATCAGTGGCCAGTCTTACTACATTTATCTCCCCACTCCTACCAACTCCTGATTTTTTTTTTTTTTTTTTTTAAAGATTTTATTTATTAGATGGGGCGCCTGGGTGGCTCAGTGGGTTAAAGCCTCTGCCTTCAGCTCGGGTCGGGTCATGATCCCAGGGTCCTGGGATCGAGCCCCACATCGGGCTCTCTGCTCCATGGGGAGCCTGCTTCCTCCTCTCTCTCCCTGTCTGCCTGCCTCTCTGCCTACTTGTGATCTCTGTCAAATAAATAAATAAAATCTTTAAAAAAAAATTTTTATTTATTAGAGAATGAGAGAGGTCGGTCAGTGGGAGAAGCAGACCCCCCTGCCGAGCAGGGAGCCTGATGCGGGACTCAATCCTGGGACTCCAGGATCATGACCTGAGCCAGAGGCACAGCCAGCTGAGCCACCCAGGCACCCCAACTCCTGATTATTTTTAAGCAAAACCTAGACATCAGTTTCTTTTATAAATATATTTCAGCATTTATTTATGAAAGTGGTTCTCAAATTTCTTGGTTCCAGGACCCCTCAGAGCTTTTGTTGGAGTTGTATCTATTGATGTTAATCATGCTAAAGACTTAAAATAGTAACTAATTAAAATTAAGACTTAATTTATTCTTATTAATTTATTAAAAAATAATAAGGGGGCACCTGTGTGGCTTGGTTGAGCATCTGACTCTTGATTTTTAGTTCAGGTCATGATCTGAGGGTCCTGGGATCGAGCCCCCCATTAGGCTCTGTGCTCAGAGAGTCTGCTTGAGGATTCTCTCTCCCTCTGCGCTGCCCATTTTGTGTGTGTGCTCTCCCTCTCTCCCCCAAACAAATCTTAAAAAACAAACCCATTACACATTAACATAAATAACTCTTTTTTTTTTTAAAAAGACTTTATTTATTTATTTGACAGACAAATCACAAGTAGGCAGAGAGACAGGCAGAGAGAGAGGAGGAAGCAGGCTCCCCACCGAGCAGAGAGCCTGATGTGGGGCTCGATCCCAGGACCCTGGGATCATGACCCGAGCCGAAGGCAGAGGCCCAACCCATTGAGCCACCCAGGCGCCCCCATAAATAACATTTTTAATGGAAGATATATTTACCAAATTTAGTGATGAGTGACATTCGTTTACCTTTTTGCAAAATTTTAATTTAAATTCAGTTATCCAATACACAGTACATCATTGATTTCGGATATAGAGTTCAGTAATTCATCAGTTGCACGTAAGTCAGTGCTGATCATATCCTTATGCCCTTAAAAGGCAGACTGCCCACTGAGCAGGGTGCCTGACTGGGGCTGGATCCCAGGACGCTGAGGTCATGACCTGGGCCAAAGGCAGACGCTTAACCAACTGAACCATCCAGGTGCCCCTGCAAATCTCTTTAGTGAGCTGGTTTACTAGAGGACGACAGGATTCTTGTATCTGCTTCTGCATTCATTCCATTGCAGTATTTTTTATATTTAAGTATATGAGGAAAAATCCTACCTCACATAGATATGTGGTTGGAAAAGGGAGGAATATTTTAGTAACCTTTTTAGGTGACTGTGGATATTATTTTTTGATGCTGTGCCAAAACCAGTTGTAGTTTCTTAAAGGTTAGCTGTGATGTAGAATCTGAAACCATCTCAGTGAATCATTTTTATTTATCAGCACCCCTTACACATTTTTCAGGGGTCACCTGTAACCTTGATATTATTATCTGATGTTAAAATTTCCTGATTGGATTATGTATTTATTTTAAATGAACATATAGTATATTATTAGCCCCAGGGGTACAGGTCTGTGAATCGCCAGTTTTACACACTTCTCAGCACTCACCATAGCACATCCTGATTGGATAATGTTTAAATAGGTTGGTTGATTTCAGTCAGGATACAAATACATCTGTTTTGCAGTTGAAGGGTTTTGTTTCTTAGTTTTTTTAACTATAGCTTGCCCTTCGACCTGATTTCCTTGTAGTTTATTTGTTGAAGAAACTGGATTGTTTGCCCTGGAGGGTTTCTCACACTCTGGATTTTGCGGATTGCATTCCTGGGCTGTACATTCCTATTTTTCTTATAAACAGCTAATTAGGTCTTGAGCTTTGATGAAATGGAAAGATTGCATTCTTTTGCAGGAATGCTTACAGTGTTGTCTATTTCCAGTATCTGGTTGTGTCTTACAATTTTAGTAGCTATGTGTGATCATTATTTGAAGCCCTTAATTAAATAGGGACTGCAAACTGATGAGATTCTAATTTTATTTCTTCTCTTAATAGCTGGAAGACTTCTGTAGAGAGAAACTTTGTTTCCTCAACTGGTTACCTCGTGACATAGTTCATGTAGGCAGGATAAATGTTTGTTTTGAAAACCGGTAAAGAAAAAGAATCAATTAGTTGTCTGGGATCCTCCAGAGTTGAGTGATGATTTCTCTTTTTTTGGTGAAATCATTGGTTTTATGTATTTGTATGTGAGACCGTTAAGGAAGCCATTGCCATCCACTTTTTGGCCATTTAAACAGTGCATTTCTTTTCACTTCATACTGGGGAAACCTGTTCCCATTCACATGTTCTTTCAATTACTTTTGCCAGTGAACATTTATCATTTCAGGCTTGACTGCCTGGGAGACTCATTCGTGGAGAAGCTGCTTTTTTTTATTATTATTTTTTTAAAGATTTTATTTATTTATTTGACAGAGATCACAAGTAGGCAGAGAGGCAGGCAGAGAGAGAGGAGGAAGCAGGCTCCCCGCTGAGCAGAGAGCCCGATGCGGGGCTCGATCCCAGGACCCTGAGATCATGACTGAGCCGAAGGCAAAGGCTTAACCCACTGAGCCACCCAGGCGCCCCGAAGCTGCTTTATAAGTACAAAATAATCTGTTCTTTGTTCCTTAACAGTGATGGTGGCCTGCGTTTTGGAGAAATGGAACGAGATTGTCAGATTGCCCATGGAGCAGCCCAGTTTTTAAGGGAAAGATTGTTTGAGGCATCAGATCCGTATCAGGTTCATGTTTGCAATCTTTGCGGAATAATGGCGATTGCTAACACAAGAACCCATACGTACGAATGCCGGGGTTGCCGCAATAAAACCCAGGTGTGTAGACCCTGCTGGCAGTTGATACTTGTTTAGGTTATAACCATGTTGGTCTAATCATCCAGGCAGGTTCAGTGTGGTGGGACAGACTGGCATTTTTGGGTTTGATTAGTTTTAAATGATGAAAAGTTAGATTTTTGTGAAAACCAGTTTTAGTGGGGTAATTTCTCTAAGCTTTTTTTTTTTTCCTGGTCATTCTTTGGAAATAAGGATGTGTACAAGGAATTTTAAACGCTTTAAGGAGTATAAAAGAAATCTTTTGAGAAGGGTGAACATAAATTATGTCTGGCAGGAAGGCTGAAATCCCAAAGCCTCTCGGGACAAAGAACCACCACAAGCCCCAGTAGCAGGACGAGCACTACCAGCTCAGTACCAAGACCTTATACCGTTCTCTGGGCGAGGGAAGTAGGATCACTTCAAATACAGTTTTGCTAATTACTTTTTCTCTCCCCCGCAGATTTCTTTGGTGCGAATGCCTTACGCGTGCAAACTGCTCTTTCAGGAACTCATGTCTATGAGTATTGCCCCTCGAATGATGAGTGTTTAGCTCTTCCAAAAGAGTCTCAAGATACTTGTAAATATTTGTTTCTTCAGTTTAAAAAAAACCAGTGTACTGCATTGTGAGAGAAAGCATTTTTACTGATTTCAATTACATGCATGCTCTTCTACTGTAAATAGACAATAAATTTTTGTAGGAGTCTTGATGTTATCTTTATTGTGGATTTCCTCTGTACGAAACCAGTGAATGTAACTAAGCGTTAGTGGATCGAAGGAAAAGAAACTGTTACTAGGTAAGAACAGGGCTGCAGCTATCCAGGACCACTACTAGTGAGGCAGACGGATACATTTCTGCAGGTTTACAGGTCAGCACCTTCACCTAGTTAGAAAAAGATGAAAATTAGTTACAGATACGGATGTGGCTGACTTTCTAATTTTCAGGTACTTTTTACTGTTTCCAAATAAAGATGTGAAGGGGATGTGAATGAGCGGTACAAAAGAGCTGTACAAAATGCTCTTTGGAACGTGAGCTCTGGGTTCTTATGCGTAAGACATGGACCTCGTTACAGAAGTAGAAGAGCTCGTTTCACAGACGAGCTAGTTGAGATGCAGAGAGGCTGAAGAACTTTCTCGGTCATGAAGCTTTCACTCAGCATTCCAAGCAGAGGATAATTAGGGGCAGAGCTGAGATGCAAACATGACGTCAGGCTGAGCTCTGCCGTCTCGTCACCCGGCTTCGCACAGCCCGGCCGAGGAGAGCCTGACCAAGCCTCTCTTCACTTGGGACTTCCTCCTGCCATACTGTAGGCCCGAGATCTGCACAGGGGGATGGGTCCGCAGATGCTGATAGTAAATTTTCTTATTTTTGATTCACAAGAAGCCAGTTCAAACATGAGTCTAAGCGAAGTACAGAAACGTAAATACTGTAGGCCCGAGATCTGCACAGGGGGATGGGTCCGCAGATGCTGATAGTAAATTTTCTTATTTTTGATTCACAAGAAGCCAGTTCAAACATGAGTCTAAGCGAAGTACAGAAACGTAAAGTAGCATTACTCTGATGCTCCTGGGGTAGGTGCTGGAGAGGAAGCTTTTGATGGTACAACAGAAGAGAGTTTGGGTTCCTGCCAGGATACTCTCCCTTCTGGCTTTTTCTTATAAAAGCTCAAAGTGAAGGACCTGAATTGCTCACAATCACTTACTTTAAAATGGAAATTTAATATAATAGTTGCAACACCAGGGAAGACTGCCATGTGGATAGAAAAGTTATGGGAAATATAAGCCGTTCCGTTCCAGTTTGAGATGTGAGATACAGTGAAAGCAGTGGCGTCCTTACAGTAGCTTTCCATTAACCACCCGGATGTGCTTGTAGAGCCCCGCACTCTCCATTTTGATAACAACGTCAGTAAGAGCGATGCTTTCATCCCTGGCTCTGTTCATTCTTAAACAAAAGCACTAGTCCTTAAATGGTTGTGAGATTTATTACCTACCTTTTATCACTGGTATTTAATATATGGCATCCAACACTGTAATTTTTGCCGATGCGGAAGCCTCTCCTTGCGAGTTGGATGCGTGGCATTCGTACTCTCCAGCATCATCCTTACTGAGAGGAGATACCTGCGGGGGAAAAAAGGATCTTCAGCTCCTCTGGGGCACCTCTCTTTTCCCCGTGGCTTCAGTGAGGTCATTATTTCTTAGGATGAATAGGGGATTCACAGCAGAGATACTGACAGAAATAGCGTGAGCACCGGGCTGCAGGACAGACAGCTGCCCTGTGTGCTCTGCGGGAGGATTCACACTGAGGACACCGCATGGACAGCTTCTCGTCACGCTGCGAGGCTCAAGAACTGTGAACAGGTGCACATACCAGTTCGAGGAAGACGTTGATAGGGTTGTTAGCACAATTTAGGAGTATCAAAGGCCAAATAAAAATAATTAATGCTCAGGCCATTTAGTTCCGTGTAAGGATTTTGCTTTGTTTTTGTTTTTTTTGTTTTTTTTTAAAGTAAGCTCTAGGCCCAACATGGCGCTTGGACTCAAAACTCTTGAGGTTAAGAGTCACACGCGCTACTGACTGGGTGAGCCATGCGCCTCTGCATGAATTTTTAAAAAACTTTTAAAAATTTTGACAGAGCACAAGCAGGGGGAGCCAGAGGGAGAGGGAGAAGCAGGCTCCCTGCTGAGCAAGGAGCTGGATGTGGGGCTCAATCCCAGGACTCTGGGATCATGACCTGAGCCAAAGGCAGATGCTTAGCCCGCTGAGCCACACAGGTGCCCCCTGCTTTGAATTTTTTAATTTTTTATAAACATATAATGTATTATTAGCCTCAGGGGTACAGGTCTGTAAATCGCCAGGTTTACACACTTCACAGCACACACCATAGCACATACCCTCCCCAATGTCCATAACCCCACCATCCTCTCTCTCCCCCGTCACCTGCTTTGAATTCTTAAAAAATTAGTTCCCATGTTTTTGTTGGTTCTAAAACATTCAACCAATCTTAGCTCTTTGTTAACCCCGAAAAGAGCAGCAAGTTTTCTGCGAGGCCTGTCCCAAAGAAGTGTGGCTGGCAAGGCACATCCTTTCAGCCTGGCAGGACGTCTGGCACCTTTGCTAGGTTTGCTGTGTCTAATCCTAAGAATGAAATCCTTGCCAATTCTCAGTACTCACCAGCACCCAGCCAGTGACTTCATGCTTTTCTGGGCCACCCCGAGTCTGAATGGCCAGGTTATCCCGGTCACCAGGCAAGAGTTCTGTCCTTTGAACTCCGTGGTTACCCCTTTTTACCTACAAAAAAGGAAACAGTCTTGAGTTTTCTGCACTGAATTATCAACTTGGAAGTAGCCACATTCTTGGAACGGTACAGGGCATATGTCAGACTTTCCAACTGGATTGAACCCAGCAATTTCCATATTACTCCTTCCTGAATACTTAAATATAGATCTTTTATTTCTTCCTGTCAGTTTCCCTCTGAAATCTATGTATTTTAAACTAATGTATATTTCCGCATGCTTGGGGAATACACACCGTCACACTTTGCTGCCACTATTATTCACTCGTGCCCTTGTAAATACTGCTTCTCTTTGCTGAGCTTTTTCTTGCTTGCCACAAGGTGTTTGACAAACTGTCACCAAGTGTTAGGTTTGATTCTTGGGACCTCATGTGGGAAGCCCAAGTCCTGCAACCACCTCTATAACAGAAAACAGGAGGTTGAGTCCAAAACCAATACTGTTCCTTTTGTTCTGAGGGCTAAGCGTTCATTCTAATGACTTACGAAAGACCTGAGAGCAAAAATGCCTGTCAAGTACATGCTGTCACCGTTCTCTTACGACAAAAGCTGCTTGCTGCCCACCCCTGTGCATCATGATGAGAATAGGGATGGGTTAAGAAGACATTCAGTCTCCTTGGTTTCAGGATAATCGTGAACACTTTCCTAATTTTCCTCCTGTGAACTGTGTTCATAAAATAAACTCTGGAAAATACAGAAAAATACATGGAAAAATAAAATTTACTTGCAGCCTTTTTGTACATACACATTTAGCATAAATTTCTAGAAGTGGAACTGCTGAGTCACAGAGTACAAATAAATATTTTAAGGCTTGTAATGAGGATGGGTTTAAAAAGGACCAAAGGGATACACAAAGCAGTGTTCATTCCATCCCGGGCCACCTTTAAGAGCTAGGTTGATGTTTACTGATGCTACGTGTAATTAGAAAAAAGGATTTGCAATCTCACAGGTAGTTCTCATTTTCTTAACTAAGCAAATTCTGAGTCCCAGGAGCCCAGCTGCCAGTGCGGACGCTCTCCATGTATGTTGCTTCTCCCTTCCTGATCCTACTCCTACCGCAGGCTCTTAAGCTTCTTGTCTCAACTTCAAACCTACTCTGTTTTCCCTGCGGCGTGACACCAGGGCTGGGGCTCTGAAAACCATGAGGTGACCTAGGCCAACACTTTTTTTTTCTTTTTTTCAAAAATTTTATTTATTTGACAGAGATCACAAGTAGGCAGAGAGGCAGGCAGAGAGGGAGGGGGAAGCAGGCTCCCTGCTGAGCAGAGAGCCCAATGTAGGGCTCGATGCCAGGACCCTGGGACCATGACCCGAGCCGAAGGCAGAGGCTTAACCCACTGAGCCACCTAGGCCGACTCTTACTCCTTGCATTATTAAATTAAAAAATCCTTGCATTGGGGCACCTGGGTGGCTCAGTGGGTTAAAGCCTCTGCCTTCGGCTCAGGTCATGATCCCAGGGTCCTGGGATCAAGCCCCGCATCGGGCTCTCTGCTCAGCAGGGAGCCTGCTTCCTCCTCTCTCTCTGCCTGCTTCTCTGCCTACTTGTGATCTCTGTCTGTCAAATAAATAAATACAATCTTTAAAAAAAAAAAAATCCTTGCATTATTACTGATTTGGGATGCCTGGATTTTGCTTCCTTGCTCTTTTCCCCTGGAATTTTTCCCTATTGCAATTATTAGAGAAAACCAAGTATCTTAATATTTTTCACACAGGAGTGCTATCAAGACAAAACAGATAAATTTGGGAGGCATTTTTTTCCTTCTGTCTCCCCAGTAGCTGGCAAAACCAGTTCATGCTAGTGCAGATTTTGAAAATAGTTGAAAATGGTTTTAACAATGGTGTAAGGATTGATCAATGGCCAAAGTAACGTATCTCTGGTCTTCAGTGCATTTCAGAATTCTCTAAGAGCTTTGAGTGTGACCAGAGCAGAAAAACACTCCTGCGTGAAATACGGCACCTCAGCAACGGAGCTGCTGGTCCCCCGACTGTGTCGCTCTTGGTAAGGGGCATTCTGTGCCCGTTAGCCTGATCCACTGTGTACGGAGAAACTGTACTCGTCAAGCATTTGTTTGGAAAGTGAATACTTACATTTAACAGAGCTCCTATTTTAATATATTGTAAAAAGCTACACACCACGTAGAAAACATGCAGAAATGTCAAGAATTGCTACATGGTAAAATTTTTATATGGCACATTCCCTTGCTCCCTTTTCGGAGGGGGAGTTTGTGCTTTACGGTTTGAGGGAAAAAAAAAAAAAAGGATGCAGGCTGAGAAAAGTGGCTTCTAAGACAATCTGACAGATGTGCAATGGGCTGGAAGTGCTCCTGAGTTTGAACCTTAGAAATCTAGGCAGAAAAAACTGGCTAGCAGTCACTGCTTGCTGTGAAGGGTCAACGAGGGAGAAAATCAGAGGGAGCCCCAGGAAGTCATTTCAGCTCTCTCTGCTTGTATTTTAGCTACAACAGTGTCTTCCTGAAGCCTGCTACTGCAGATAAGCAATTAATAATGAAAAGTGCCAGTGGTTACAGAAGCAGGATTAAACAGTCTGACTCTTACAGGTTAATGCATTTCAAGGTGTTCACTGAGTTTCAGGAAACCATTAAAGGACATTTATGCAGTGTTGGACATATTTGCTGGGCCTTTCTGGTGAAGTTTCAGAAGAGGTTTATGATTAAATAAATACATATCTGTTGAAACTTTCAGATGCCCAGCCACTGTAACCCATTAAAGACAAAATGATTGTCAAAGAAAAAAATATTTGTAATACGCGGGAGAGGGTCAAGATCTCTCATATACAAAAAGCCACAGACTAATAATTAGAGACAATCCAAGAGAAAGATAGGTAAATGATATCTGGAGAGGCAATTCCTATAACACATGAATGGAAACTATTCTCTTCAAAATACATCAAGAACTTCTACAGCTCAACACCCAAAAAAGTAATCCAATTAAAAATGAGCAAAAGACGTGAACAAATGTTTCTGTAAAACAGACATATGGACGGCCAAGAGACACACGAAGGGTGCTCAGCATCACTCATCATCAGGGAAATACAAATCAGAACCACAGCGAGATGACAGCTGACATGTCAGAATGGCTGAAGTCAAACCCGTAAGAAACCAGCGCTGGGGAGGATGTGGAGGAAATGGGTCCCTCATGCACTGTGGGCAGCGCAGCCAGTGGAGGCTCCTCAAAAAGTGAAAAATAGAACAACCCTACGGTTCAGTTATTGCACTACAGGATATTTACCCCCCAAATACAGAAACACTAGTTTAAGGGGATGCATGCCCCCATCTTTATAGCAGCATTTTTTTTTTTGGTCAGAGAGAGTGGGAGAGAGAGCGAGCACAGGCAGACAGAATGGCAGGCAGAGGCAGAGGCAGAGGGAGAGGCAGGCTCCCCGCCAAGCAAGGAGCCGGATGTGGGACTCGATCCCAGGACGCTGGGATCATGACCTGAGCCGAAGGCAGCTGCTTAACCAACTGAGCCACCCAGGCGCCCCAGCAGCATTATCTTTAACAGCCAAATTACAGAGGCAGCCCAAGTGTTGAAAGATGGATAAACATGTGGTGTGTGTATATACGCACACGCGCACAAATGAAATATTATTCAGCCATAAAAAGAATGAAATCTTGCCATCTGCAAGATGGATGGAGCTAGAGGGTATTACGTTAAGCAAAATAAGTCAGAGAAAGACAAATACCACATGATTTCACTTGTACGTGGAATTTAAGAAACCAAAGGAACAAAGGGGAAAAAAGACAAACTGAAACAGATGAATTTTTTAAAGTAGGTCCCACGCCCAGCATGGAGCCCAACACAGGGCTTGAACTCACAACGCTGACATCAAGGCCTAAGCTGCTATCAAGTGTCAGATGCTTAACTGACCGCACCACCAAGGCGCCCTTACAGCCCCTTAACTACAAAGAACAAACTGATGGTTACCGGTGGGGAGGCTGGGCTGGGGGAGTGGGTAGACCAGGTGACCAGGTGATAGGGATTAAGGAATGTACGTGTGATGAACACCGTGTGCTGTGTGGGATTGATGAATCATACTGCACACCTGAAACTAATTACACTGTATGTTAACTCTACTGGAACTAAAATAAAATTTAAAAATTAGAGGCACCTGGGTGATTCAATAGGTTAAGCCTCTGCCTTTGGCTCAGGCTCAGGTCATGACCTCAGGGTCCTGGGATGGAGCCCATTTTGGGCTCCCTGCTTGGTGGAGAGTCTGCTCCTTCTCCCTCTGCACCCTCCTGCCCACCCCGCTGCTCTCACTCAGTCTCTCAAATAAGTGAAATCCTTAAAACAATTAAAATTTTAAAAAGATTACCAAACCACAAAGAAATGGAAATACTACAATGTGAAAAAAAATATTCTCAGTGTAGTCAAGGAAATTAAAGTAGTAAAGGATATTTTTACCTATCATTAACAAAAATTAAAAAGTTGGGCAATATTCAGTGCTGGTGAGGATACGGGAAAATGGTTCCCACACACTACTGGGGAGAGTGTGAACGGCTACAATCTGTTTAGAACGGAATCTGAGAATGTCTATTAAAACTAGCATGAAACAAATCTTCTACCTAGTCATGTATCTTCTGGGGGAAACTATCCTCTACGGGGAGGGCGGGGAATAAGAGCACTTGGATATAGGATACACATATACTTGCATGTTATTTAAGGTGGTCAAAACCTGGAAAAAACAAACAATACAGGAATGGCTCAATAATTATGGTAAATCCATACTCGGACTATCATGTAGTTACTGAGAAGCAGACCTGGAGGGCTGCTCTGAAGTATTTATCGAGAAAAGCAAATTTCACAGTAATGTTCTCAGTCTATTCCTACCTCACCCCACACACTGGGGATATGTGCTGGTTTACGGGCACAAGTAAGGGTTCAGAAAGATGAAAACCAGGACAGTCCTCGCTAGTAATCTCAGGGAGTGGAAGAAGGTGGGAGATTCTGAACTCTTTTTATATCTTTGGAGAGTTTCTCCTAATATTACCATTATCACTTACTGTTTTTAATTTAAAAAAAATTCTTAGAGGTCATGAAAACTCAAATCTGCAGAAATGTTCAGGCAGGTAAAGAACTGAAGAGAGAGTCTCAGTCTCAGAAACTCCAAGTGTTTGGAAGGTATTCTAGGTGTTTTATCTTCTCCGTGAGCATTTCTGACTCGCCTGAATTAGGGCTATTTCAGCCTAAAATACGGCAATTTCAGTTCATTTCCCCATCTGAAAATATTGCTGCTTTCCTTTAAGGCTAGAGGCTTGCAGGGAAAGTATGGGACTTAACATCACTTAGTAACTACAGGTCAAGTGCAGATCACGCACCAGCTGTGGCGGCCACGAGGGGGCGCTACTGCAGCCTTCAGTGTCTCCGAGACAAGGATCGCTCTGTAAGCTCGCTCTGCCGTGGCTAAGAATCCTTGAGTAAGAAAGACCTGCGACCTTCTTTGAACTCTGGCTTAACAATTGAGATTCTAATACCCATTCATAATAAAAAGCAATGCTGTGCTTCAACTGAATCTGAATGTGACGTTTTTTTTCTTTGAATTCTCAACAGTTTGGTTCCAGGGAGAGTGGTGAGAAACAAACGGCCTATTCAATTGTGGACATGGCCCACAGCAAGAAATGCGTTTTGCACTGGGATCTGGTATATGGGAAAGAAGAGTTGTGGGAAACGATACCCTTACTAAATGTGATCCATGCCTCAGGATAGTTTCTGTTCTACTTTGTAAAGAGAGTGCTGGTTGCGATCTCTACACTGAATTGAGGACATGAGGGTGGGTCACAGTCTGCCTAAAAAAAATCCACCACTTTAGGTTACGTGTGCGGCAAATTACTACAAAGGCAGACTAAATTCAGCAGAGCCGGGCAGCGAGGTTTTGCTAGGTTCTGGCAAGTCCTCCCCCTGCCCCTCCCTCCGGCCACAGATCCTCTGGGAAGCTTCCAAGGGAAAGATTCCCGAGGCGGATTTACTGTCCTGGGATGTATGTAGGTTAGCTGGGGTGCGGCAGAGCCAGGATGGAGGAAATTACTCTCTGCCAAGATTGGCCAATAAGGTCACATGCTCCACACACTTGGGGTCACCCTGGCCCCCCACCGCATCCTCCCTAGAGAACTGCAACAGGGCTTTCTGTGGAATTCTCTGGAAAAGTTGTTCCTCCGCGTCTCTACCCTCTGAACAAACTGCGAGCCTCCACATAAGCATTGGGGAGCGGCAGCAGCCTATGCCAGAAGGCGCACATCTGGGCCAGGATGGCTGCTCTTCGCTCCCCTTTCAAAAACAAATTGAGGTGAAATTTTACTGTCCTTTTTTCTCCTTTTTCAAATTTTTAAATTTTATTTTAATTTAAAAAAATTTTTTTTAAAGATTTTATTTATTTATTTGAGAGAGAGACAGTGAGAGAGAGCATGAGCGAGGAGAAGGTCAGAGAGAGAAGCAGACTCCCCATGGAGCTGGGAGCTCGATGTGGGACTCGATCCTGGGACTCCAGGATCATGACCTGAGCTGAAGGCAGCCGTCCAACCAACTGAGCCACCCAGGCGTCCCCTTTTTCTTTTTTTTTTTTTAAAGATTTCATTTATTTATCTGACAGAGAGAGTGAGAGAGCACAGGCAGGGGAAGTGGCAGAGGGAGAAGCAGGCTCCCCACTGAGCAGGGAGCCCCATGAGGGGCTCGATCCCAGGACCCAGGGATCATGATTGAGCTGTAGGCAGAAGCTTAACTGACTGGGCCACCCAGGCGCCCCTTCCCTGTCCTCATTAACAGGAATTACGGCTGTAAATGTCAGCTGTAATATAGCTGGTGGTGTCTCTGCCCATCCCCACAGCCAGGCATTTTCTGGAATCACCCTGATTTCACTGCCACCAGCAGGCCGCACACGGTGATGCACCCTCTGGCCACAGGGGGAGCCAGAGTGCAACAGGTGATCCCACCTGAGTCCCAGTCCTCTGGGATTCACAGGGCAGCAGGGAGAGGGGAAGCCCTTTCTTTCCCCTGGAGTCTTCAACGGGGCGGTAATAATGGGAGCCTGGGGCGGCCAATGACAACGCCGCCTACAGTGTGGAAGCAGCGTCTGGAGGTAGAAGGACAAAAATGAGACCAACAACACATGGAGAGTTGAGAGTCAAGAACAGAGTCCTGACCATACTGGGTTCCTGGATGTGGGAGCGCTGGAGGCTGGAATCACTTCTCACCCTCCCTTTCTCTTGTTCAAGGCAGCCTGAAGGGAGTTTCTACAACTTACAACATAAAGATTCTGACCATGGGAGCCAAGATACCCTGTGGAATTCCAGAAGCTGATCCTCTGGTCAGATACCAGCAAAGGAAATAATCAAGAGAGAGCACCTGAGAGCTTGCTGGAGCGGAGAACCAGCTAAAAAGGGGTATCTGGTGATGCCTTCTCACTTAAACTCTATTTCCTTTTAGAAAGCACCAGTTTGATGACATTTACTCCCTCACATTGCTGTGAGGCTTAACTGAGTCAAAATGCGCGAAGAGGGAGATCATGGAAAATAATGCACAGTATAACGGTGACATATTATTCGATCTGGCAAATAAGTGTTTTCTTTTCCCTTCTACAGACACGCTGGGGATAGGTTACCCTTCAAACGTGAAGACAGTTAACACAAGACAATGCCATTTGAAGGCAAGTATTTCCGGGAAAAGCAGCTAACATCAATGGAATGTTAACTGTGGGTCTGAGAACAGGCCAAGGGATTTTACCTACATCGCTTTATGCAATCTTTACAAAAATTACATGCTGCCTTCATCATACAGAGAAAGACATTGAGGTTGGGAGCATTCGTTCTCATTCTAGGCGATTTTCCCCCTTGGAGACACCTGGCAGTGCCTTGACACATTTTTGACACGAGTTGGGGTGGTGCATTGGCGTAGAGCCAGCCGCGAGAGGCCAGGGACCAGGGCCGCTGCTGAAGCTCTTGCAAGGCACAGGGCAGCGCCCACAACAAAGCATTATCCAGTTCCAAACGTTCGTAGTGCTCAGGGTCAGAAACCCCGGGCTTAGAACTCTAGCAACCTGGTTAAGGAACTCACATCGTTAACCACCATGCTGTACCATCTCCGATGGGCACACACTCCTGCACACACTCACACGTGCACACACTCTCTGGGTGGGTTCAGGCGTTCGCATTACAGTTTCCGAGTTCCTACACCTCCACGCTCAGGCAGCGACACGGAAAGCAGAGTGGAGACCGTTCTGGAGGTCAGGCTCAGGGGCAGTGTCTGGAAGATGGCCACAGGTCTCACCTTTGAGAAGCAGCAGGGAATAGAAGAGGCCAGAGTGTTTTAGATCGTGGCTGTCCCTGTGCCTGAGAGAGATCATCAGCCTAGGAGACCTTCCTAGAGGATGTGCCACTGACCTTGTTCCAGATGAGCACTGGGGTTGGGATTCCAATGACCTCACAGCTCAAGTACACCTGGGCACCAGTGACATTCCGGATGTCCTTGGGGGGTGTCACGATGGAAGGCCCTACAGGAGAGAACACAAAGCCAAACACGTCTTTTTAAACAGTCTGTAACATCAGTCAGCGTACTAGGAAGTCAATACTTGATTCTGTTTAGGAGGCTGTCCCTTCTGTGCACGATCTAAAGCAAACTGCGAAGGCCACACTGGCATCCCCCTGTCACCAGCGTGACTTTTAAGCTCTGCTTTGGAAATGCATACATCTAAACAAATAAACAAACAAAAAGCAGTAGGAAGAAAAATGTGTTGTTCACAAAATTTTCTGCTCCCTTAAATCACATTTAATGGTTTAAATTTACCAGCTGTTTTGCATTATCTGGGCTATTCCAATTAATATAATGAGATTTAGTTCCAAAATGTTTGTTTTTCCTTTTTGCTTACCAGAATTTCTTTTAAAGTAGGCTCCACACCCAGTGTGGAGTCCCTTACAGGGTTTGAACTCATGACCCTGAGATCAAGACCTGAGCTGAGATCAAGAGTTGGTCACTTAACTGACTGAACCACCCAGGTGCCCATTTACCAGAATTTCTACTTTTGGCAGGGAGGGAATAACTGACTTAGGTAGTGAAAGAAAAAAATCTAAAGATACTTGAAAATGTGCTGTGCACTTAGAAAAGATGGCAGTCCCTGTTTTAAGAAGGCTTAGGATTGAAGATCGACAAGTCAAGGTGATCAGGAAGTAATGATGACTTGGCTGTGTGACCTGGGAGACAGCAAGGAGAGAGAGACCTTTGAGAAGTGGCCTAGGTCTCCCGGAGGAAGGGGAAAGGGCTTTCTTCTCAGCTGGGGGAGGCACTGGGTAAAACAGCAACAGTGACAGGTGCACTGGGCGTGACCAGGGTGCCCAAGGACACAGCTCTTTCCTGGGCTCTAAGTGTCTAGGTCCCTGGCAGGGAGCTCCGGCAAGTGGGGGAACGTGTCAAGACACTGCCCACAAAGCTTTGGCGGGCATGAGACCACCCAGCGAGAGCCCAGAGTGGTACCTGCCCATCCTCCCAATTCTGGAACACCTCTCCAGGCCTTCTTGGTCTGATCTATCCTGTCTGGTAAGAAGGTCCTTACACAGGTGCTCTCCAGAATGTGCCCCCGGACTAAGACCGAGGGCTCCGCGACTGGTTCTGACGACGATAGGGAGACAGACGTGAGTTAAAATAAGTGGTTTGTTGTAAGGCTCAGGCACCGGGACCTCATAGGAAAAGAAAAGTCATCATCAATGGGACACATCTTTTTTGTTACTAAAGAGGTCCTTGGGTCGGCCAAAACTATGGCCCATGGGCCAAATCGGGCCTGCCACTCGTTTTTGCCTGGTGCCTAAGAGGTCTTTGTGTTTTTAAATGGTTGGGGAGGGGGGAATGGATATTTCATGATGTGAAAATTATGGGAGAGTCACGTTTCAGTGTCCATAAATTAAGTTTTATTGGAACACAGTCATGCCTCGAGTCTGGCCACTGTGACCGAAGCCGAATGGCCTAAAACATTTACAGCATTTACAGTGGAGCCCTTTATGGAGGAAGTGCTGTAAACCTGCTCTCAGCAGCCAGCCAATGGCTAAATACGATGGCACGGGAAACCCATTCAATCCTTCACAGGTTACCTGGAGCTCAAGCAAGTAACCCAGCTCTGAAATGTAGCACTTTGAAAAAATTTTATTTTTTTAAAGATTGCATTTATCTATTTGACACAGAGGGAAGAGAGAGAAAGAGAAAGGGGTCACAAGTAGGCAGAGCGGCAGGCAGAGCAGGGAGCCCGATGTGGCGCTCCATCCCAGGACCCTGGGATCATGACCTGAGCCGAAGGCAGATGCTTAGTGACAGAGCCACTCAGGCACTCCTGAAATGCAGCATTTTTGAAGCCAACAGACACAGAGAACGGTGCTTGCTCAGTGCTCCTGGGGGGTTTGGGAGAGGAGCTCCCCAGCATCTGCTATAGGGAGGCGCACACACCATCTTCTTGGTGGCTTGTGTTTAGTATTTCACTTCTGCTCATTCTGAACGCCCAGTTTCAAGCACAGGGGCCTTCAGGGGCATGAGGGACAGTCCACAGAAGAGGTGGGGGCAGGGCTGGGAGCCTGACCTTCTGTAATGGGCCTCCCTGTCCCCACCCCCACGCTGTAGCTACACAGCACCCTACTCCCAAACCAAACCTGGCCTGTCCTCAATGCTCAGTGCCAGTTCTTGAATGAATGAGTTAATCATTCCCTCCGAATCGTGGCTCTCCACTGCCAAATAAAATGTCTAACTGTGGGGTCATCTTGCATCAGTGTCCTGGGAAAGGGACAACTTCCCCTTTAGGCCTGGAAAATTTTTCTGGCACAATTAGGATTCAAAGGACACAAAATCTCCCCTTTTTCAACAGGCTATTTCCAGCACACTAATAATTTTTTGAAATAGAAAGGAAATGACTCCAGCATTTAAGATTTTTTCCCACTCATCTGAAGTATTAGATGCTGATTTTTTTTTTCTAATCCCTCGGGGTATTTTTATTTTTTTCCCCTTTGTAAGAATGTACAAAACAATCAAGGTTCTGAAAGCTCTAAATAGATTTCGTGCTTCCTTTCCTCTAAACTGTAGGTCTGAAGAGGAAGCCTCTATCTTGGCCAGGGGTCTTGGCTTTTCAGTCACAAATGTGGATGGGGTGAGTGTGGTCGTGCTGCGTTTGTGTGTGTTTCTGGCTCGGTCTCCAGTGCTTCCTAGTCTAACCGAACCCACACAGGACCCCGCAAAGGTCTGGACCAGGCCTGACTGCATCCCTGGCTTTCCCCAGGGTCCCAGGACCCCAGGGTGGGCCTATAGGAGAACCAGATCTGGCTGGAATCTGAACTACTTTCCCTCACCTCCCCGTGGGCGTCCCTGTGGCTCTGTCCTCCCTCCCACACACAGACTCTCTAGGATGACCTCAAAGCTCAGGGGACCTCAAGAGATTGTTCAGAGAATATTCTAGTGTTCCCTTGTGGAGGGGCTCGGGAACAAAGCTCTCTCTCATGTATTAAAACCACACAAGGAATGTAAGACTTTTCTTTTCCTGTGAGGTCCTGATGCCTGAGCCTTATAACAAACCACTTATTTTAACTTGCATCTGTCTCCCTAACGTCGTCAGAACCAGTCGCGGAGCCCTCGGTCTTAGTCAGGGGGCACATTCTGGCACACACATGGTCCAATTTATCACATATTTTTCTTTTATGATTAGTCCTTTAAAAAGGACTGTTAAAAGAAACCTTTGCCTAGCCCGAGATCATAAAGACCTCCTGTTTTCTTCTATAAACTCTATAGTTTTACCTTTCACATTTAGGTTTGTGGCCCATCTTGAAATGATTTTTGTGTATCCTGGGAAGTAGAGGTCAAAGTTCATCCCTTCACCTCCCCCAAAGGACTTCAACCACTTTGGCATCATCTGGTGAAAAGGCCACCCTTTTCTTGCTGAATCATGACAGTAAAACCATCGAGCATATATGAGTGAGTCTACTTCTGGATTCTTTCTTGTGTTCCGTTGCTCTGTGTGTCTTTCCTTGCACCAATAATGACTGTGGTATAATTTAGAAATGTATTCAGAGCATAGCACTGAAGAGAGAGCAGATCCATTACATCCACCCCTCTCCAACCCTCTCCTTATTCCAAGAAGCATTACATTTCAGGAAGCACAAGAGTTCTTTCAAAACTCTTTCTGAAGCCAGAAGTATTCTGAATGAGAGCCATCACCAGGAGGTTCAAGATCAGGACAAATCAGTCTGTGGGTTCCTCTTTCTCTGTCTCAACCCTTGGAACACATATTAAACTTGAGGTGAATGGGCTCAGTCAATATTTAGACACTCTAAGGACATAATTCTCATCAATTCTGCTTACCAGCCCATCCCAAGAATTCTACAAGATTCCATACCATAATTGTGCATTACTCGCTGAATCCGTTGAGTTGATGGGGGTAGAGGGGCAAAGGGGCTATGAGGACCCGTCTGCTGCACAACATTCACAAAATCCCTTGGCTATTGCGTATGTCCTTGAACAAATGTCAGATTCAAGAACATAAAGAAAACTTGAGTAAACAGTATCTACACTAGAAAGTGCTGACCTACAGAATGCCCTTTAGGTTTTGCTATGTAGTCTCTTGCAAAGCCGAGTCAGATCAGTGAATGATTAGACTAATATTCAAGACACCAACCAACCTCCCAGAGCCAGTGGAGGCAGGATGGCTTCGATCGGATTTCCTGTGTTGGAAGGATCCATGATTTCAGACTCATCCTGTTTACGCTGCTCAGTGCTGATACCCACTGGGTCACCTACTTACTAAACTCTGCCTAGTTCTTTGCCACTCACTGGTCTCGAAATTTCCTCAGAGTGTGAAAAGGGAACGGACAAGCTTGTGATGAAGGCACAAGATAGCAGTTGTATAGAAAGATGAGTGAGCATCCACTGTGACACAGAGTAAGAGAGGGACTTCATGGGACCCACAGGGACACCAAGTGGACAGGTTTTGTACGGAAGCAAAGGGATAGTGAAAATATTTGGGGGCAATATGGTGGCAGACCCAGCAACACTGTACTCCCCTCCCCCCAATCTAAACCACCATTATCCCATATACTCCACTGATAAGCAATTTCACCGCCAACGGTCATCTTGAATTGCATGTCCAGTTCCCGAAGGTTCTGTCCTACCCTCAGGAGAGAGCTCGGCGAAACAACTCCTGACCAAATAGCTTCTCTTTCCACTCTGCCTTTTTTCCAAGAAGTCCTAAACAGATCCAGAATTTGTTTGTTTTTAAGGGTAAAGGAAGTTTTGGTCCCTTTGAGCTTGTTTTCAGGCAAAAAGCTGAAAATCAGTTCTTGAGGCCGGGCCAAGGGTACCAATGATATTGTCTAGATCATACTCCGTGTTTGGATCCCATCTGAAACAAGTTGCAGACTATTTAAATGTATGGGGACAAACACCAGATAGGTTTGGTTATTTATTTATCCTTGTCTTTGTTCCAGTAAGCACTTCAGGCTGCTCAGACATCTGTCTAGCAAACATCCTGTA